CTGGCAATCAGCAGGGCTAACCATCGATAAGGAAATCACAAGATGTTCGCATTTGGTTGCAAGGAAGTTGGGGGGGGGGAGGACTGTGAGTGCTGCGTCCATTTAGAAGTGAGAAGACAGGGATATCCGGACTTTGTAGAGTCCTCAAGGATTCATTCAAGGTTTTTGATGTGAAAAGTATCTTGGAAAACATCTGAATCAAAAGACAGCTGCTCAGGAATGGAGAACGGAGGGTGACAAGAGGTAAGGTGGCACGAACTACGTCTTAATATGCTGACGAGTTCGCTCAGATCTTCGGGGACCGTGGGAGGACATATGCTTGTATGAGGAAACCATACCTGGAAACCCTACCAGCACTCTGCGTAGGAGTCGGGTGCATGGAACATATAGAAGGGGTGTCAGTCGGGCGCCATTCTTTCGTACAGCTGCGGCTGCGGGCCATTGCGTACACTGCGGAGCTACAGTAGCCTCACGCCTAGTTTTATTCAATGTCGAGGAGACATCTCGTGGGAGATGCGTCTATATTTGAGCGCAGTGGGATGCAGGTGTTCCGATACCTTCCTTTTCGTCACTATTCCTCACCAAGTCAAAGCACGAAGGGCCAGGATAGCGGACTCTATGTGTTATTCTAATAATAAATGTGAAAAGATAGCAAGTGCCTGACTATGATGATCACGGCGAGATGCGAAAGCGTAGGGCTAGATAAACCGGCGACTTGCCACGCTCCCCAAACAATATGGAACGTGGAGAAACCGTGGGAGCAATCCTTGGTTTGGGAGTAGTGAATGTATATTCATGTAGCTCACTCATCACTCGATGCTTTACTACATTTTATGTAACTTTTTTCAAGAGGGACCTCTGTAGACTGGACAACTGTTATGTTTGGAAGAATTAGTCTACTACTGTTGTACTTGCTTCTTTTAATTTTTTTACTTCGTAATGCGTTTGATCCCTTTATGCGTATGTAAATTACGCGATAGAGGTATCTTTCGGTTAATGATACCGCTTCCCCTCAAAAACGGCCATGAGGCTGCTGCACAGGAAGATTCTAGGACTGAAATACTCTAGATGTCACTCTTTCATCATAATCACCAAAATTCATTAAGATGCTACGTCCCCAACGAGTAATGGAACTAGGCGTGAGGTTACTGTAGCTCCGCAGTGTACGCAATGGCACGCAGCCGCAGCTGTGCGAAAGAATGGCGCCTGTCAGTCGACTATTTTTTTAGAACTCTGACTTGAAGATGTACGCTGTACGCATGTTCAACCCTTCAAACAACCTGCAAATGGTATTCGATCTGAAGAGAAGGGCTTTTCGTGCGCACGGTATTCCGCGGTCACTTTCAGGAGAGGGAAAGCTTCTACACCCCATCACTGCATATTGTCCTACATACATACAGGACACATAGAGAAAATAATTTCGAAAGGCGGATAGTTAAAAAATGCCCAACTTGATCAAAGCGAACCTAACGTTTCACTACCCTTCCATCCACTTCAGAGGTTCAACAGTCGAGAAAGTTATGGCTATTCAAGGGTACTTTTAAAGTTCTGGAACCTTTTGCAAAACGTCGCTAAATAGCGTGCTCCAACGGAACGATATAAAGCGTGCTTCACGCAACATCTGACTGCGCGCGAACGTTCAAAATTCGTAACATCTATTTGGTGCTTTTCCTGCAATATTTTGCAATCGCTAAATAAAACCCTAATCTGAAAAGCATAAAAGTTCACCTTGAATGCTGTAAGAAGTGAAGTGAGTAGATTAGTGAGATCACCAGTTGCTTCAGGGTAGTTACGCTGTTCAGCCAATACAAAACGTTGCAATGTTATAGAGTTAGTGTCGATTCCATACAATTGTTGAACGTTAGACATGGTTAGCTCTGAATGTGTACAATCAATTGAACCTGTTTCATAAGGTTCATATGAGTAAAACGAGTCCAGAACAGGAACATTTGAGGAAAAAGAAGACGCTGTCAGGTGAAATGTGTCGAATAACAACATA